GGCCACTGGCAACAAGGTCTACCGGCAGCAAACACGACTACATCCCCTTCACCCGTCACGGAACTGGTTCAGCTCGGACATTTCGCACCACCAATCGTAGGTCAGGTTGGTGGTCGTAGACCTTGTTGGCCGCGGACCTTGGCGCGTCCCCGGTGACCATACTATGTAGGTATTTTAAGCCAAGTATGAATGGAGATGAGTGTAGGATGAGTGGCGCGATCTTGTAGTCTTGTTAGTGACTAAGGCCGACATTCCTTAGACACAGCTGTTAATTAATAGCCCAAACAGCTAATGGCAACTAAGAGACCTACAGTTTATAGTGGAATCCGAACCACATTTTTCCTTGGTATATACGAATTGGTCTAATTATCAGGATAGTACTGCGGATAGTAGTAGTACTCACTAGTGCGGACGTTAATCCACACCAGGGAGTATCCCATCCACAGCGCATGCCTATAAATTTCCACAATCCGTGACCTCCATGTAGCTGGATTACAGGACGACGCCACCCGTCAGTTATAGGTAGGTGATCGGGTTGTTTATTTGTGTTGCACCATATAATTTTTTAACTTTTGGAATGGAATAGTTGGTTAAGGTTAAACGGGGAAACGATTTCAAAAATGCTTGCATATGGTCTTAACTTAACAAACCATCTACAGTATTCTAGCTTTGACTTTATATAAAGTCAATGATTCTAGCAAATTATTACATACTGACCAAAAGAAAAGAGAACTTTTGGATTTGTACCTTTGACCATAGCAAAACTAACATATAATTATGGAATGTGAAAAGTTGTATATCATTATATATACTATTCTGTAATATTAATAATTGTTCGGCAAATCCTCATTTTAATGGCTCGGCTGAAAATGGAATCTGCATTTTGTGAAACAGTAATTTGGTAACAATTCAGTTATTTCAAATGTTGATAACAGTAGCCCATCCTATATAAATACTGTTATTTGATTGCCAAGCCACGGACTATACATACGTCCAGTTACAACCGTTGATAAGTAAACCTGGGCTTATAGAAGTACACTTTTAACCACGGTATGGATAATTGTCTAGGCCTGTCCAGAAGTAGGCTACTAATTTCTAATTATATTATCTACATTGTATATTTAAGGCATGTCTTCCCTACTTATTATATTATTCTGTTTTCACTTAAATCAGCTGAATGCAATGTTTACTTATTACTTATGTTTAGGCCTACATTTCAGCCATTTTATGTTACACGGTTGAATTTAAATGTCAAATTTCCCCTCCTGTTGTTATACTTTAATACTCGTTTTTTTATAGTTACTGTTTTTTTTATACTTAAATACTTTAACCGATTGTAAGGGTGAAAAATGTAGTCCAATGTTTTTTTGTTGTAGGCTACCGTTGCATTTGAATGTTAAATTACCTTTCTCATTTTTATACTTTAGCCTACTTTTTGGATGTTAATATCAGATTCCAACTACTGTAATATTTTCCTGGTCAAAACTACCATAATGCACTTCTCGAAGAGGTAAATTTGAGTTATTATAATTTTAATCTTTAAAACCAGCATTAGTAAATAAATCTATTGACCTTTTTACATTTAGTTACTTATACAAATATCAAATCACGTTTGTTCCGCTCAACTGGCTTTCACCTCTCTGAAAGCAACCCTAGTTTTTAATTTATGAGCATAAATGTATTAAAATATTGAAAATTGAAACAATATGAATTAAAATCTATATCTGTACATTTTTAAGCGGAGTCAATATTGTCATAGTCCAGTACGGTAATCAATCTTTCGTAAATACACAAATACCATTAGTTGCTTCCAAAAAAATCAGCTGTTACAACACCACTTGCGACGTTGCCAGTTCGAAGGCCGCGGCCTGGACTGGAGTTAAAGGCGGCCGTGAAAATATGGACAATGAGGGTCCCCACTTCCATTAATGGTGGCCCTAGTTTTGAGGTTATTTGCAAAACATAGCTGAACAAACATGTTTTATCAGTGTTTTTGAAGATTAGGGTAAAATATAAAATTTCCAATACTTCTTTTGAGAAGAGGAAGATGGGAAGACAAATTTCTTACCATAAAATAAGATTTATATTAATAAATAAGCAATACGATATTCGATACGATATTGGCTATAGGTGTATCGATACACTCCCACGTATCACAGCGAAGACGCGTCACGGTAAATCAGCTGGTCGCTGGAGAACAAGGGGGGAGGTTATGAAGTGCGGGGAGGGCGTCAGAGTCGTGCGGCGGATATCAGGGCGAGCGGACGGACTTCGATGGTCAAGACTGGAATCGCCGAATTGATAAGTTAACCTTAGAATAAGATGTTTAATAATATGTTCTAACTTTTCAGTAAAAGGGGGGGATTAAGGGGTTAGTGAACTATAATTTTATTTCAGCTTAATATGTAAATTATACCTTGAGCACACTCGTACCCTTAAGGTACGAGTGGAAGTTTTCAGTGTTCTTTTCCTTATTATATTAAATTAGAAGCATTAGAAATTATTAGATCATCAAAATGGCTGTGATATGGATGTGGTTTGGCTCAGTAATTAATTTAAGATCTTATTATTCAACTCAGAATATCGCTAGCAACACTAGATTGATTATATTGAGCCTTAACGATCCTTATGAGTCCAGTACCGTTGCTATAAAACTATAGTAGCACGCTTCAAATACAAAATATTGATATTTAGCGGTCCTTGTATCGATACGCACATCACTAGCATAGCCCAGTTAAGAAACTGTATCCCTTTTCAGCCACCCTGTATAGGCCTAGCAGAAAACCTTCGAAGCCCTTATAGGCTATTTGCCAAATACCCCCGCCGCAGCAAACCTGCAGACTAAGCGAATTTCCATTTGACTGATTGGATTTACACTGAAATGTCTACTTAAAAATATAACATTTTTATTCTTGATTTAAATAGAATTAGTTTAACAAGTACTTAGGTTTGCTGCATCAGGGAGGGTAAAAATGTTTTTTTTTTTGTAAAATGTGAATAGTTAGTAAGAAATGAAAACATTTTCCAAATTTGATCAAAATTGTTCACAAACAAGAAAACTACAACAGTTTACTTATTCTCCATAAGAATAACATGGGAATTTTAAAATTACTTATTTTTGAATTTTCTCCGTAACCATTAGGCGCGTAATAACGCTTCAATATACTAAATTATTTGTTTTTTTAAGCTCTACAAAATGGTTTGGAAAGAAATTGCTAAATTTTATGTTTTTTGGGTAAAAAATGAGAAAAACCTATTTTTACCCCATAAAACCCCCCGTAAACCCCCGTTCCCATGGTCCGATCATGCTGGATCGCGAACTCGTTCGAATAAACGTACGTTTACACGTTTGTACCAAATTTCATCAAAATCGGATCATTTTTGCTCGAGTTATCGTGCTGACGGACACATATATATATATATATATAAATATATAAATATATAAATATATATATATATATATATATGAATTTGAACGGATGGTGTTTTTGGCCTCTAGGGACCTCAAAACGAAAAAAAAAATCGGTCCCGCGTCCAGGTCTTACCATGAGTACTACGGTAATAGCTTATTCCCTATATGGGAAATTCGCTAAAAGGTCGAGCAATGACAGTGGAACAGTTAGATTATAGGTCCAAACTTAAAAAGACCTTAGAAATGAATAAAATCTACACAAACCTAAACTGCACACAAAACTTAGCCTACGTACCAATAAATTAACTAGGCCTACAACCATGAAAAGTTGGAAAGACATGTAGGACTAACTTACTCAACAGACTAATATGTTAGGCCTATGTTGGTTTGGCCTTGATGAAATTACCCATTTTACATTCTCATAGCCTACTAACTTAACCTAGGCTATATATTACTAGGCTAGGTATAAGTTACTGTATTGAACTCCTTCCTCAATTTCAACTAATTGAGTCATTATTCAAACATTTTAAGACCATTGGGTGTTGCACAAGAATATCCTTGTAGGCCTACATAAGTAAGAGGCAAGAGGTTTAAAACAGTGAAGGACTACTTACTCAAAATGGAAATGCATACCTTTGCTAATTAACTTCCCAGCAGAGTTTTTCTAATGAAAAAATTTTCTCTTCTAAATGTGTAGTAATAAAGTTGGGACGAAACATTTTAAAACAATTTAATTATTAAAGACAAATAGATAACATTATAGCTAAATAATTAATACAATAATACAACACGACCCACACAAACACCTGATAACATAACCTACAAGTGAAGTGAGTACACAAATTTATCTTCATTTCATTTCATTACTTCTTCTTCATTCAGTGTTTCAGTCCTTTCGATCAAAAATAAAAAATTTTTTTTTATTTTTTTTTTTAAAGTATAATTGTTAGGGTCCTTATAAGGGTAAGAACAAATGTCACCTGAAATTTTTAAGTGGCCTAATAAGAGAGTTATGGGGCTTTGAAGTGCTAACTCCGTTTGCTTTCCAGCTCAAAAACGGTTTCGACTATATTCACCAAACTAGTCTTAAAAATTCCAAAAAATATATCTTTACAAGCTAAAACATTTTATTTCCCATATCGTTTATAAATAAAAAAGTACCTTTTTTTGAAAATTCGATAACTTGTTTATTTTTAAATGAATCGAGACAAGACACATATCAGAACAAAGCCAATGATGTACAGAATGTATAAAAAAATACTCCAATGGAAAATTCTTAAGCGTTTTGAAACTGGAAAGAAAACAGAAATAACGTAAAACCAGCGTGGCGTGCGATGTGAGTGTGTACAGTGCTCATACGCGCACTCACGGCGCGCGGGCGCACGCCCCTCCCTCCTCAACCCCCGCACCGGCCGCGCCTACCCTGGTTCCCGCGCGCTACCTACTCTCAGCTACCTGCTGCCAACCTGTCACCGGTCACGTGTTTTGTATTTTGTAGTTATATTTTGTGATTGTGTTATAGCATTGACTAAGGAAATAAAATTTTGTTTCTCTTGTTTGTGGTTATTGTTAGTATTGTTAAGGTGCGATGGGAACCAAAAAACCGCATAGTAAATACAAACCACGTAAACGCAGTAAACGCTCGAAAGTGCTTAGAAGAATCCATGAACGGAAACGCGAGGGCGAGGATGTAAACACTACTAACAATAGTTCAAATCTCTCCGAAGAAACTAGCGAGGAAATTTTTGATCGTCTTGTGGCATCCAGGTAAGTTGTATTTGAATTAAATCATATTTAATTGTTGTTTTTTTACGTATTTGGAAAATTTACATTTTTAATATCTTCCCCGTATATGTAGTGTATGGAGAAAGTATTGTTTTCGTCAAAGTTTTCAGTGTATTTCTATTTGGGTCCCCCTGAACCCAAAAAAAGTGGTACAGTATTCGAAGTGATGTCTGATGTGTGTCTTTATGTGTACAGAGCCACAGACCACACATGTAGTCCGGTTATGATGAAAATTGCTATGTATGCTCATGGTATTTCCAGACATGTTTTTTATATTTTTATTGTGATTTTAATGATTTTTTTCCATAAAATAATGGGAAATCAGATTTTCTCGAAATTTACCCGAAAAATGTTTTTTTAATTAAGTACGTAATAGTCCTTTACATTCTGAACAAAATGGTACAAATCCCATTACCGTAAAAAGTACAGTTTAACAGTTATTGTGACTTTTGTGATTTTTTACTATAAAATGTCATATTTACTCTCACCGCTTACCCATGATAAAGGTTGTTTACAACCTTATGGGAGAAAGTATGTGTCGGAATGCTGATATCGTGTATTATTGTCACGCTAACCACTAAACCACCGAGGCCGATGGCTGCAATTCGTATTGTTACGGTAATGGTGTTCCCTCAGCTAATGAGAAGCCCACAGCTGTCATCGTGAGCTCATCTATACCTCCCCTGAATAAATACCTAACAGGGTCCGGATTTAATTTTATATGTTAAAGTTCTCGTTTCTTTGTTACACATAGTACAGTTTGGTACGGTGAACTATAGGCATAGTTGTATAGGTATGGTAATATGTATATATGGTTATTTAAAAACTGAGCTAATACAAAGTCTTTCCCATATTGTCGTAGAGACAACCTCAAGGTCGAAACAAACAATAAATAACGTATGAGTATAAGAATAAATTTAGCTAATTTATGTATTAATTTTTTAGGTCGGTTCAAAACGCTCCAATCACACCATTGAATTGCCAAACAACCTCTGTCGACGAAGACATGGATATAGACACATCTAGTCGTAGCGGGGATGACGGCAGTACATGTGATGATTTAGCAGAACTTTTAGTTGAGCGCGTGCCATTTGAGCAGCTTGAAGAGGCGAACGTTGTCTCAGGCAGAAGGCTAGTGGACATCAACCATATTTTGTTTCAACTCGAAATAGTGGCCAATCATGGAAAACATTGCACAATGGGTAGATATAGACTGGATCGTGAGATTGTTAATGGCCTTTTTTCAAAGTTTGTTTACCATTGTGATAACTGTGATAAAGAATTTACAGTTACCAGTGAACCTGATACCAATAAAAATGAGGCAAACGATGCTCTTGTTTGGGGATCTCTATCGGTAGGCATAGGCCACTCTCAAGCAACCGAATTATTGAGTATATTAGATGTACCTGCAATGTCGGCGAAGAAATTTAGGGCTCATGAAAATAAAATTGGAAAGGTGAGTAAAAGTCTTTAAAAAGTAATGAAACTTTAATATTACATATCTTTGTTTTATTGCTTATTGTGGAAAATGTTTACTTTCTATACAATAACTTAATTGATTAAATTAAGAGCCGTTTGGTTACAGTAATTAGAGCTAATAGAAATGTGTTAGGCTAATATGTACAGGCTACTTAAATGTATTTATATTTCTCTATGCTTATAAATGAATAATATTACCTTCAATAACCTTCATGCTAGCCGTTTTAATATATCCGGGTTTTATCCATTATATTAAAGTAATTTTTATTTGTCTATGTGCAACAGTTCTGTTTCATTGCTTCAATATATGGATACACATAATACCATGCCTTGTCCTTGATACCATGTCAGGTGTTATACCACGTCTAACTAGCTACTGTTCTTGACTGTTCAATGTTTTCTTTTATATTTTGTAGGTTTGGGAAGAGGAAATGATCAAAAAAATGAAAGAAAACGCTGAGCAGGAAAAGCAAATCGCTATAGAAAAGGGAAACTATTTAAATGGTGTACCGTTCATTACTGTGATTGGTGATGGCGGTTGGGCCAAACGGTCATATGGACACGGGATGAACTCTTCATCAGGCGTGGTATGTTAACACTGCAAAACAAAAATAAGCAATTTCCTATCTCTATCACCTATAAGTTTGTCATAAACTTTCAAACCCATTTTGGTCCACTTTAACGGTCGGTAACCATTCAAACTAAAAATAAATTGGATAAAGGCCAAAAACCAGTGAACGTATAAACGTTATATTAACAGTGATATTTTAATCTGTTGTCAAACCTCTACTGTAATTTGAAATTTACCACAGAGATGAACGTTACTTTCAGAACCAAAAACATTGGTGATTTGAAGTATATACTGACTGTCATTTTCTTAAAATTGAAGCTGAAATAACAACCAAAACTAGAGTACTGCATAATTTGTAACTTTAAATTTAAAAAAATTACAATTACATTTTACAAACTTCCGTCTAGTTTATTTTCTAAGCATTTCATTTAAATTTAGAATCTACTGCTGAGGTTGTATTATACTTGTTATATTTTCATTTCAGTAGGCTACCTTGTTGTATTCTGAGTTTTGGGTTTATTGCTTTGTATAATGTTAACTAATATTTTCCTTATATTTCAGGGAATCGTTATTGGTGCCGAAACAAAGAAAATATTGTTTTTAGGTGTTAGAAACAAATTTTGTTATGTATGCACCAAAGCAAAAACTGCTAAAAAAGAAACGCCGCCTCATGAATGTTTTTTAAATTACAATGGTCCATCAACAGGCATGGAGAGCAATGTAATTGTAGAGGCATTTAGACAAAGTGAGGCTGAATATGGTTTGGTGTATAAACATTATATCGGAGACGGCGATAGCAGTGTATTTGCCAGGATACAAGAGAAGTGTAGATATGGGCGATTTGTAACGAAAGTGGAATGTGCCAATCACATGACAAGATGTCTAAGTGACGGTCTTCATAAATTATGTACAAACACGAAATTCCCTCTGGAATCGCGGAAGATTTTAACCTCGGTTCCTGAAGGGAAAACAATCACTCGCCTGGAGCGATTAGTGAAAGGGGTCAGAGCGGCAATCAAACATGCTGGCCCCACGAGAAGTTTGCAGGACATCGCCTTATTAAGGCAAGATTTGAAGAATGCTCCGAACCATGTGTTTGGAGATCATAGTGTCTGCAGACAAACATATTGTGTTAATCAGTCAGATGAAGAGGAAAACATGTTAAATAAACTAGACCCTGACTTTATTACAGAAATAAGGAAGCTGGTCGACAAACTTGAAAGAAAAGCAGAGACCTTAGTACTGAATGAAACGACCAATGCTGCGGAACGATATATGGGGTTGGTCTCTAAGTTTATCGGAGGCAAAAGGATTAATTTCACCGCGAGAGGCTCATACAAGCGCAGGTGTTTTGCCGCTGGCCTTAGCCATACTAAAGGACCCAGTTGGCATCTCAGTCCCTGGAAGAGGTTTCAAGGCCGAAGCCCGGGTGGGAATTTCAAGAGGAAGATCCTAGCTAGAGAACGCACACGTGCCAGAAGGGCATTAAGGTATGTTCAAAATATATACGTAAAATGTATCTCATGTGTTCGAGGTTCGATTATCTTCCAATACTTTCAACATGCAATATATATTTTTTCAACAATTCATTGAGCAACATCAATTTTCAATTGAATACAAATATAACCAATTCAAAAGCATTTTAAAAATAAATTATGCTTTGTTAAACCAACAAAATTTTATCTAGTAAATTTTATTGCAAACAAAACCAGTATTTGTCTTGTATAGTACCCTATTTATGACAATATAACTTTGTTGTAATTAATAATAAAAAAAAAACTAACGTATACGTCTAATAATTCTGTAGCTATGAATATATATTTAATCTGTTTCAGGTACTCAGTTGAGAAGCCAAAAAAAAGGAAATCATCCCAAATGAACTCCTATGATAAGAACTACGGACCGAGTGCTACGGAACCAGATGTGTCTGAAGAGGAACTAGAGATAAAAAAGAAAAGTGTTCTAGAACTGCTGGAGCTGGATGCTAGAGAAAGTGAAAAACTTGAGCAGGATACAATTGGACAACACAACAACAGCCTTTGGGAGGAAAAAAGAAAAAATAGGTTAACTGCTTCGAAATTTGGGCAAATCGTAAAACGGAAAGACCATACACCGTGCCACAACCTGGTCAAGAACCTGCTATATCCCAAAAACCTGAACAGTGCAGCAGTTGTTTTTGGAAGACTCCATGAAAAAGAAGCCATATCTAAATACGAGGAAGAGCACAATGTTGTTGTCAAAGAATGCGGCCTATTTATTGATAACGCATATCCATTTTTGGGCGCTTCGCCGGACGGATTAGTTGGCGACGAAGGACTCGTTGAGGTGAAATGTTTACCTTCAGTGAAGGCTCCTTTGGTAGAATGTGTAAAAGAAAAGAAAACCCTCTGCTTAGAAATAAACAAGGAGGAAATAATTAGTCTTAAGAAAAGGCACAATTATTTTTTTCAAATTCAGGGACAGCTAAATGTGACTGGGAGGAAGTGGTGTGATCTGATTGTGTATACGGCGATTAAACAATTGTTTATCGAAAGGATCTATATTGATAGTGAGTTATGGCGTCAAGTAATGCTTCCTAAACTGAAAAGATTTTACATGGACTGCATGTTGCCTGAAATTGCGGACAGCAGAATTGCAAGGGAAATGAGAGTTAGAGACCCTGACTACATAATCATGGCCCAGGAAAAACGAAAAAAAGTTAATTAGGCCTTCAAGTTTGTGACTTTTTTAAAGTTTTCATTATAAAAAATATCACCAATCTTAATGTTTATTTTTGATGAAATACATTTCCCTTGTGAATTCTAAATTTACTATATTTTATTGTAAACCTTAATCAAACATTAGCAAATACAGTAGTTTATTCTGGGTTTAACTCATTGGTTTTGTTTAACATCAATGAAAAAATATTTACTGCTTTCACTACTGCATTCACTTACAATGTTTAGTAACACCTTCATTCATTTTTATAGTGTTTAATTGTTATAAATGAGAGAACATCTTATTTACTTTTAAAAATGAACATAGGCCTAACTTAAAACCATAATGCATGTTCTTCAAACTAATAATATAAATAATGACCAATTGGAAAAATGTCTATACAGAGTTTACGTTGGCTGCCAATTTTAACTTTTATCTCGCTTGGCTAATGGTGCTGCATGTGCCGCGAGAGCCTTGTGTAGTTGCGAGCACTCAGGTACAAGGGACGGACTAGTGACTGGTGAGTGGTGTGGTGTGGTTGTGGCGTTGGTGCGGCCGTCCCTACTCCCCCCTTCCACCCACCCATCCCACCCCCAGCTAACACACACAGTTCCAGCAGCCTCCGAACGGTGCCCCCAGCGCGCCGCGTGGCGACTCTGGGAACTACGGCATCTCAACTGTGAGTGTCTGCTCGCGTCCAAACGCCCCCCACGGGTTCCACAGGATGCGGAGTCTTTCTCCGCCGTGCGGTGCGATTTTTTTCCGCTGCGGAATTAAAACGACACTGGTTTATGGCCTGGTTCCACAGGATGCGGAATCTCCGCCGTGCGGTGCGATTTTTCCCGCTGCGGAATTAAAACGACACTGGTTTAATGGAGTTCCCATGTGTGCGGTTCCACTGACTTGCGATTCCGCATCCCGAAATTTCCGTTCCGCATGGCGGAGAAATCATACTGGTCTGAGAGCAGTAGCAGTGCGGATTCCGCCAGCGGAGAACAGCCATCAAATATTGTGACCGTGCAGTTTCAATATGTCTTGTGCTGTAAAAAGAGTTATAGATGAACGTTTTTCTTCGACTGAAGAGGAAGAACTTGTCGAGTTGGTGTCTTGACCAACATGATGTGTAAATCGCATGTCAGTGGGTTTTTGAGAAATTAGCGAAGACGTATGCACACAATCACACCAGAATACATTCAATGATAAAAGTAATGGTTTGTTTAGTTTAGGTCACGTTTACCTATACACAACATTTGAGCCAATTATAAAGTAATACCTATAATCGCAACACCGACTTTCAACAAACTAACTGCTTAAATAAATTATTATATAATTATAAATTATTATCATTTAACATAAACTGTCGAAAATGGTAGACCTGACGAACAATTATCCTGAGATGTTTGGGTATCAAAGTGTTGAACGGGATCTGATCGTGGTTGAAACCCCTTAAGTTTCGTTAAATAAATAGCAAAAATATTAAATATTGGTACATACCTTAGTGGTACCACGCTAGTTTTATCTCGGCATTCAATGGTTGTATGTCTCGATTAGTAGTGTTGGTGGGTAAGTCATCTTTGATGAGATCAACCAAAAAGAAAAATTGGTCTTTTGACACACGGAAGTACTTAATTTCGTTGTCAACTAAATGATTACAAACCAGAATGTTATACGCCCCTTCACTGTCCCGATTCTTAAATATGTCACTTCGGTCACTGCGACTTGACACTAACAAAGATAAAAGATCGACAACATCATCATCAATGTCATCATATAGCATCAAAGCCAAAAGGGCTTTCCTCTTTCTATCCATACTCCGTCGCTAGTTTGCACAGAACTGAATCTCCGCAACGTTATTTTCGCAGTCTGTAGAACCACCCCTCTGATTTTTCGCTGCGTAATTTTCCGCTGCGAAAAATTACGCACCGCATGGCGGAGATTCCGCATCCTGTGGAACCATAGCTTTAATGGAGTTCCCATACATGTGTGCGGTTCCACTGACTTGCGATTCCGCATCCCGAAATTTCCGTTCCGCATGGCGGAGAAATCATACTGGTCTGAGAGCAGTAGCAGTGCGGATTCCGCCAGCGGAGAAGAGCCATCAAATATTGTGACCATGCAGTTTCATTATGTCTTGTGCTGTAAAAAGAGTAGATAAACGATTATAAAGTAACACCTATAATCGCAACACCGATTTTCAACAAACTAACTGTTAAAAAAATTATTATAATACATTTAACATAAACTGTCGAAAATGATAGACCTGACGAACAATTATCCTGAGATGTTTGGGTATCAAGTGTTAAACGGGATCTCATGATTGACACCCCTTAACTTTTGTTAAATAAATAGCAAAAATAGGCCCCTTCACTGTCTCGATTCTTAAATATGTCACTTCGATCACTGTGACTTGACACTAACAAAGATAAAAGATCGACAACATCATCATCAATGTCATCATATAGCATCAAAGCCAAGAGGGCTTTCGATCCTCTTTCTATCCATATTCGTCGCTAGTTTGGACAGACACAGAACTGAATCTCCGCATCGTTATTTTCGCAGTCTGTAGAACCACCCCTCTAGATTTTTCGATGCGAAAAATTACGCACCGCACGGCGGAGATTCCGCAACCTGAGGAACCATTGCTGAACGTCATAAAACTCACTATTAATAGTGTGGACGCTATGTGCACACGGAATTGGATTGGAATAATATTGTCGTCGTACAACACACTCAGGTCCTGTTGTTATTCCTCGTTGTACACAATAATTAATTTTATCATCGCTTTGCTTCAACCATTCTCTTTCTGGTATTCCATATTCATTGCTTCATATTTTTCAGCTCTTGTTTTCTTTAGTCAATGAAGTTGTAAATGATGATACCCAGTCAGGTCATGGTGGAAGGAAAAAAGGGAAAAAAGGTGTTTTTTCCTTCCACCATGCAGTCAGGTATTCTCAGGGGAGGTATAGAAGGGTATTTACTCAGGGGAGGTATAGAAGAAGAGGCTACGATGAAAACTGTAGAGAAGGGTTATGTTTATGTTTATATCTCAAACCTCAAAGTCAATGAAAAAACTCATCGCATCTCATCGTAAGTTTATTCAATATATTATATCAGAAATTAAGTTTGTAAGAAACCTAAGATTTTAACAATATTCTTTGTAAGTAGTCTTAAGTTTAATATTGTGTTTTTATAACTGACTCCATTCTGTACAAAATGTGCAATATGAATACAGTTATTTTGATTGATTGATTGAACCTCTATTTAACCCTGATCTGTCCTTCTCAAATACCTCCAACATAGTCAATGCTCTAACTCCAACTATTTACAATAGCCTAGCCTATAAAAACTTGCTGAGGTATGGTAGACTACTCTTTGAGTAGACCTAGCTTTATAAATGAGTTTTTCAAAATATTCTGAAACATTGAATGCTATCAGTGACTAAACTTAAATTCAATCATGTCCCTCAGAAATAACCGCAGCTCAAACGCCAAACTTAAACTTTTACTTAGATGGAGCGAACAGCCAACACTAGGTATCTTCTAATTTAAGCTAGGCCTACTTATACTTCTTACTGTTTATGATAACTCTGACGTTTTTCTGGCAAAAAAGAAGCCATTTTGAAGCCTCAGGAGTCAGGAAGAACTACCTATAAGAACTTTCAATAGTAAATATTCCGATTGAAATCTCTTTTGGTTCAGAACTCTAAAGATGAACACTTCAACAACCTCAAACCAACCCTCTAGTTTCTAGATACTCTTAGTAACTTAGCCTATTGTAAAATTGCCTAAGCTAGAATTGATGTCCTTCAACGGTGGACACAGTCTCAAAACACAAATTTTGTAAAGAACTGTTTTGATAGTAGGACTACTTCTATCCACAAAAACAAGTTTGTTGCTTATCCCTTATTTTTGGTAAACATTCGATCAGTACTCGCTAAGTTCACTTCAAGACAAAGCCTACTTTGAACACAGCTTTGAGGTCAGTTGGACAGTGGTGCACAGAGGTACAGTAGGCCTTTCTATCAACCCCTCCAAAGTGGCGGTTATCTCCTTCACCAGGAGGCGCGATCTAAATGGCATAGGACCTTTGAGAATACAAGACACAGTGCTTGAAATGCAGAATCAGGTAAAGTACCTGGGTGTGGTATTGGACCGAAAGCTGCAATGGGGACCACAACTCCAAAAGGTCATTGATCGAGGTAAGTGGTCACTCATGGCATGCAGACGGATGGTGGGAGGAACCTGGGGGCTCAAGCCGGGGCTCATGCACTGGATCTGTGGTAAGGCCTGCCATGACATACGGCTCACTCGTGTGGTAGCCCAAGATGGACTCGGTGTCGGCGGTGAGAGATCTGGCTGCCGTCCAAAGACTCGCCTGTCTCATCATCACGGGCGCAATGAGCAGTTGTCCGGTTGCCTCACTGGACTGCCTTCTCAACCTCACTCCAATTGACCTGCATGTCAAGGTCACTGCGAGGAGGACTGCCTACAGACTCCAGTGTGAAAACCTTTGGTTGGATGTTGGAGGATCCTGAGGTCACTATCGGATCACTCAGCAGGTAAGAGGGGAGGTAATGGACATGCCCTCGGACCATATGACTCGATTCTTCTTCGCCAGGCCATTCACCGTCCTTTCATCTAGGGATGAGTGGGTGTTGGGTGGGAATCCTCTTTCACAAGGCGACCTTGAATGGTAGGTGTAGGTACTGATGGTTCAAAGGTAAAAAGTGGGACAGGGGCTGGAATTCCTTCCCAGACGGTCGCCTCCAATGCTCTACGTTTAGACAGAAGGAAACTCAGACAGATCACAGGAATGGTCACTGGCAATGGCTTCCTAAAATTGCACCTGCATCGCTTGAGGATCCACAATGGAGATCCACTAGGAAATGTGGGCAATCAGAGGAGACTGCTGACCACCTACTCTACGACAGCACAGCTCTGACCGAGGTAAGGGACAGTACTCTTGGTGCAATGACAAGGGGCAGACACCTTCCTCAGGAGGAGCTCATAGACAGGATGCTGAAGTTCATTAAGCAACTCAGGTTTGACGGACTCTGAAGTACCATGTGGGGAGCGCAAAAAGCCCAACAGTGGCTGACGTGCAACAGGACAAGGTCCGCCCCTACAGAATCAATCAATCAAACAAGCCTACTTTACACTTGATCAAATCATTACCTTATCATTATCTATCTTCAGATAATTTTCAAACAATTTCAATGAAAATGAAGTTCTTAATGTTCTTTAGTATAATATAGAAGACAACTAGCCTAATACCCTAACCAGGGGTGCCCCCCCCCTCACTAGAGCCTAGGTCGCAGAATCCCCCCCCCCCCAATTCGATGTTCAACCCATGCTGGGAGAATCCAGGCATCTCCCCAGTTAAAATGCGGGTGCTCAATTTTTTTAATAGGGCTTTCAGCTTTTGAATCAGATTTTCAACCATATTTAAATGGCAGATTTTTCTGAAAAGGGCTAATTTGGTTATAATGTAAAATACCTAATTAGGCCTATTTGAGAATTTTATAAATAATTTTAAGTGTTCAGTAATCAAATGTACATGTGCAATATACCAGTGCATTTTATGTACAATTATTTACTCAAGTCATAAAGAAAACTCTTGATCAAATTTGCAGAATTGGTAAAAACATATATTACTGTACAAAAAGATGGATTGGGTGGTTGATTTTTCAGTCGAGTTGAGAATAGGACAAACTGCTTGAGTAATTCAAATTGTCATAGAATTGCCGTACAGATACTTCTTTCAAAACAATTTATATTTTGATCGCATCATAAGTAATCATTTAAAATAGCTATTTAAACCTTTTTAAACTGTTGTTTAGTTTGTTTCTATTAGGAAAATTATCAACAATTATAATAATTATTATAGGATGAACGTTGGATATCCACCTGATCGACTAAAGTGTTGGAGGAGGTAAAAGTGGTATAGCATACAGTGGAATAACATCGCTTGATACACTTTAGCTGTGATTGGGCACTTTAAAGTGTTAGGCCTGCAACAATGCAAGTCAAGAGGTTAGTCAAACAACATATTTATAAATATATTATACACTTTCATATATTTTATTTTATGTCAACTAGATCTGAAATTATATTTAAGATACATACAATTTATGTAATGATTTTCTGACTTCCGGGCAAACAACAGTCAACAGTTCTTGGTAATTTTTATTTATCATGACTTCTATTTAATTGTTTGTATACATTTACGATTAATATGCCGATGTAATGTAATGTAATGTAATGCGAAGAGAACAAAATACAAGAACTATAGAAACCAAATCAAGGTATGCTTTCGATCGCTGGGATTCAATTTTGTACATATCTTATTTGTCTTTTCTGGGAAGGATGGAGGGAGAGGAGAAAAGGTCTACATTTATCCAGTTGTCAATTAATATCATGTCTGCCACCAATCAGACTGAGGTCCACCAGCATAGCTTCTTATCTGTTTAAAAACTCCAATTTTTTCATCCCTAAATTTTAAAAATCTTTAAAAGTGTAACGTCTCTCTTCCACTCACAGGAGTAACTAAATTCTCCTTTGTGGGAGATAATATCGCAAAGGCCTAGTACCTTTTTGTGATATAAATGATAATTTGATTTTATATGATTTACAAGCAGGAATATACTTAAGGATTTTTCAATATTTTTCTTTCATGTTAGAAACAGTGCATTCCAGTTACTTTAAAAGTTTCTGAGGATTCTTATGGTATAGAGAATTTCATTGCAACTACCGGTAACTGAAATGTTGCTCAGCTAATTATTTGATTAATACCAAATACCCAATCAAAACATAGCGCAAACCATCCGGTCTTATATCTGACCAAAATCATCACTTGGTTCTGTTACCCAAGTAAATCTATCTACAAACCTATGGATTTACATTGTTAAATTATCTTCTATTTTAATTGTTACTTATTGGAGCCTAAACAGAAATTAAACATTCAGCTACAAGAAATGCAAAAAATTACCTTAGAATTACAGAAAACATGCCAGCGCCAGCTGATGACAACATATTTGCAAAGGATTTCAAATGAAGGCCAGAAGTTGTGATATGCAATCCTCTCTTTAAAGTAGACTCTCGCTTAGGTAGATTCTTGCTAAAGTAGACACTCACTACAGTCGGAGATCTGAAACAGTATCAAAGAATTCTTAAATGGTATACCAACTTGACCGGAACTTACTTCTAATTACCTGTTTTAAACAGTGCAATCTGTTTTAAGTTTTAGAATTGGTTCACATAAGTATACATCGTTTGTCAATGATCAATAATTTAATTCTTGAAACAGTAAAATGTGTGTAAAAGCCAGTCTTTGTAGCTTCATCCAAATCCTAAAGAGACAGTTAACTGTGTATTATCACTGAATAGCAATTAAAAATATGGAATAGGATATTTCACTTAAAACCTTATTCGCTTAAAATTTTTTCTATGAGTTTACTCTCCTTGAGCTCTAAAATATGCAATTGTGGTTCAATTCAGCCCTAAGTGTTAAATGCGGATGTTACACGTTTTGGACTTAAAAAGGTTAAGATCGTAACATATCAAATCTTCCCATACCAATCAAACAACTTCCTTTTTTCTTCTTCTTCAAGATCTAATGATGTTCATGTAACGTGTTGTGGCTCCACTATATTTAGTGTAGTTTCTAACTTACACTAAGGTTCTACTCCCTATGACTGTTATTTCTTGAATAGATACTTACATAGATAGTAGAATACAGCTCTTCCCCTCTGATGATGTGTTGATAACAGCCAGCGGGATGATGGGAAGATACTAAGGAAACCAGGCCAGTGGGTTGGAAAAAGGTTTAAATACTTTGGATAAAGGACAACTAAGATAGAGATGAGGAGGTCCAGACACATTTATCTAGATCTACCTCCTCTCTCTATCGACAGGCCCCCTCTGCCATGTTCGGTTGGAGGGCCTCCCGTTTCTACCACAACATTACTGTACTATGGTAGGGCCGTAACACAAGCTTAATGCGTATATTACCAATCAGTACTTAAAAAAATAAATCCTGGTATCAAAACTCTCAATTAAATTTTGAATTTTATCAAATGTCTATTGCAGTTTATGAGTTTTGAATTTTGTATGGGCCGAAGCCCACTTATCCCTCCTTACCACCCCTGGCAAGAATCTTAGAAGTTTAATCATGCAAAACGATACTTAAGAGTATATTTAAACTTACCATTTAATGTATTCATAAGCCTATATTGAAATGGGGCAAGGAGCCTCCCCCTTAAGACCCCACCAGTGTGACCATACGGACTGAGAATTTTATGAAGTTTGCGTAAATTCATGTTGAAATTGGAACTATGCAGGAATTTTAAATTTTGCACTGAAGGAAAACCGGTTTTAGTCTGCAGTCTTGGTAAAATTGTGATCATCATCCGTGGTCACGGCAAAATCGTTAACACCCCTCGAGGTCTTGGCAAAATCAAGAACATCTTCCACAGTAATGGCAAAATCAAGAACATTTGCTAATACGGGAATTCGGCTAAACTATCAACTTTTTCATGTTCGCAGGAAAATTGAAATATCTTCTTTAGTCACGGCGAAATCACAAACATAATCTGCGATCTCGGCAAAACTGTAAATATCTTCCACCGTCACAGTAAAATCGAGATCACTGTATGCCATCATGGCAAAACTGTTAACATCTTCTGCGGTCATGGCAAAATTGAGAACTTCATACACAGACTTAGCAAAATCACTCAAAACTCTTGAGGTAAAAAAAAATCTTGGACATTATTTAGTGACATCATCGTCCCCCACGATCAGGGTAAAATCATTTTTCGAATGTGTATCTTCATAAAAACTTTCAGCGGTCACAGAAATTTACGCTCCGCTCGACTTGATCTAAGCTTGACCTGAGTGATATTTTCTGTCCGTACAGACCTCTTGTGCTGACTGTTGGTCCGAGGTCCGACCAGATCCAAAAATATGGACCAATGGAGTACTCGCAGACCACTAGTAAAAGATACACTTGGCGACTAGTAATCACGTCCGGGAAAACCAGGTTTTTTATTAGGAAATCTGGAAAAGTTAGTGAATTTTGTTTAGGAGTTCTGCCCACACTTAAAATTATGCTGTTTTGGGTAAGGGGAGGAGTTTCTAATTTACTTAACAAGGTTGCCCCTGTAGATAACCCTTTATGTATAGTATAGTGGCCTTTCATGATTAAACTTTTGAGACTTTTACCAGGCAACTGGAAAATGACTTAAGAATAACTTAACACAAAATCTATGTCTATCCTAAAACTACACCCTAACGTAAAGTACACTCAATCACACCTATTTATAAGAAACCAATATCAAATAATAAAAATTTATGTTACTTATGTTAGAGGAATAAATGAAATTTGTGTTAACATTTAGATTATACAACTTACTCCTATTTTGTGTGTATTTTGGCGGTTTTGCTTCTTCAAACGTTCAAACTAATACCAACCCAAACTTTTGTGTACGTACCTGAAATCGCAATTGTGCAACGAAATGGGGCACATTTGTAGGATACCTCTTATACGGGACATGGAAATACAGTACGTATTCTAGCTTAAAGACTTTCTAAATCATGCACATAATATTCCTACTTAAAAATTATTAAGGCCCGGTTTCCCCAAAATGGTGTAAACTTCGTTTATAATAAACTAGTTTATTTTTATACTCCGTTTAAAATGTGTGTTTGGTTTCTCCGACATTTTACTAGCTTCGTTTAAGATAAACGGCAATTCGAGCGGTTTGCAATCCTGAATGTGTATTTGCAAAGAATCTTCGGTGGGCTTTGGGCTAGTGTTTCTTACAACGCTCGCTACGCTACGCTACAACTCGGTAGAGCAGACGAGCAAAGTGCAAATGCTGCTGCTAGAATAACATCACTGTTTAAGGTTATGTTATGTTATAAAGTTGATTTTTCTTTTACAACAAGAAGAATTAATTCTGCCCCTTATTTTAGTAGGCCCCTTGTTCTACAGCCGCATGTGTAACTCACTGGGGGATACAAATTCTAGACCACTTCTAGATGAGCTAGAGACTTGAAATTTTCGGTGTTTTGTAGGTCTAGTGCCCAAACCCCCGGGAAAATTCCAAAAAGTGACATTTTTAAATTTTAACCCCCCCCGAAATTAAGGGTTTCCCCCCCATGTTATTCTTATGGGGAATAACATTAAAAATGGCCGACTTTGGTGTGCCCATCTGAACGGTTTAGAAACGTGCTAGAGACTTCAAATTTGCGTAGTATTGTACTATGGGATCTTAAATTAACGGTTAGTTTCGCAAAAGTCCCATTTTCACATTTTAACCTCCCCAAAAATCCAAAATGGCTGACCTCTGAAAACGAAAAAACACTTTTTTTTTCAACCGGATGTAGCTCGAAAACGGTAAGAGCTAGAAAAGATTTGAAAGGATCTTAGCGAAAGGAAATTAAATTTTCTACAAAACCCTGTTCGGCGTTTTCCGGAAATCGCACTCCTTAACCTTCAAAAAAACCCCTACTTTCAAAATTTAGTAAATTTCTTTGAACTTTTTTACGGTTTTCGCTATTTTTTCATACTTAAATAATTCTTTTTTGCAGATATTATAAGTGCTCTGTGTTCCCCTTAATTTACTTTAAATTTTACTCATTTAATGTTTTTTTGTATCCTTACTCCTTAACCCCCAAAACTTAGGTTTAATGTCAAATTTTAAAGGTTTTTTACCACTTTTACAAGCCCCATGTTATTCTTATGGAGAATAACATTGAAAATGGTAGACTTTGGTGTGCTCATCTAAACCGTTTAGAAACGTGCTAGAGACTTGAAACTTGGTATTATTGTAGTAGGGGATCTTATATTAATGATGAAACTTGCAAAAGTCCCATTTTCAAATTTTAACCCCGCCAAAAATCCAAAATGGAGGACCTCTGAAAACGATAAAACAAGTTTTTTTCAAACGGATATAGCTCGAAAACAGTAAGAGCTAGAAAAGATTTGAAAGGATCTTAGCGAAAGGAAATTAAATTTTCTACTGAACCCTTCTGAGCGTTTTCCAAAAATCGCACTCCTTAAGCTTCAAAAAACGCCCTAATTTCAAAATTTTGCAAATTTCTTTCAAATTTTTACCGGTTTTCGTTATTTTTTCATACTTAAACAATTCCTTTTTGCAAATATTATTATTGCTTTGTGTTCTCATTACTTTACTTGAAATTTTACACTTTACATGTTATTTCGTAACTTTACTCCTTGACCCAAAATACTTAAGTTTTTACCACTTTTATGAGCCCCATATTATTCTTATGCAGAATAAGATTGAAATTTGATGACTTTGGTATGGTCAAATGAATCGTTTAGAAATGTGCTAGAGACTTGAAATTTGTTAGTATTCTAGTAATGGATCCTAAGTTAATGGTGAAATTTGCAAAAGTCCAATTTTTAAATTTTAACACACCCAAAAATCCAAAATGGCGGACCTCTGAAAACGACAAAACACGTTTTTTTCAATCGGCTATAGTTCGAAAACTGTAAGAGCTAGAAAAGATTTGAAAGATTTTTCATGAACAGGAATTAAATTTTCTACAAAACTCTTTTAAGCGTTACCCGAAAATTGCACTCCTTCAGCTTAAAAAAATGCCCTACTTTCAAAATTTGGTAAATTTCTATAAAATTTTTACCGGTTTTCGCTATTTTTACATACTTAAATAATCACTTTTTGCAAATGTTATCAATGCTTTGTATTTTCCTTGGCTTAATTTCGGTTTTAATCATACATGTTTTTTCGTAACTTTACTCCTTGACCCCCAAAACTTAAGTTTAATATCAAAATTTAAAAGGTTTTACCAGTTTCACGAGGTAATAATAGACTCTTTACCTTTTCTGTATGCACAAGGTTATTAAAACTATACAAAGTTTACTGTATTAGAGCTAACACCAAGGTATGAATATAATAAGGACCATTTAAAAAGTCCCCCCCCTCTCGAAATCCCCCTTATATCTATCCTATAGCCACCACAGATTAATCGGTCTAAATCACGTTTACCAATTTCTAGATTAGCTAAAAATCCTGAAATTTGCACCCTGTCCCCCTGTGGCACATTTGTACTTACAAAATTTTACCCCCAATTTTCGCTACTTTTCCCAATCTAAGTAAATTCTTTTTGCAAACATTATTAATATTTTGTATATGCTCTGGTTTACTTAAAGTTTAATCCCCCTATCGTATTTCCAACCCCCCCTCCCTAATA